TGTTTTGGATTTTGGCGTTCTCGCTTTTTCCGCTTTCCAGCGCTCCCTTCACGGCCTCGGAGGCCCTTCAGATCGCTCCAAGAAGGCCCACGAGGCCCCGACGAGGGCCCCAAGACGGCCCAGGATGCTCCCCAGACAACCCAAGTGTGCCCCAAGAGCGCGCCAAGAGAAGGCCCAGAGGGGTCCCGAGGCGGCCCGGGCCCGCCCCGAAGCAGGCCACGACAGGCTAATGGAGGTCCCGAGAGGGCCCTAGACGGTCCCAAGAGGCTCCGAAGACGCCCAAGCTGCCCTCAAGACGGCCGACGAGGACTCCAACACGCTCCAGGAAGGACTCAAGAGGCTCCCCAAGAGGGCCCTTGGAGGCAAGATTCACTAATTTTCCGATGGTTTTCGAAGGATTTGGGCGTTCTCGCTTTCCCCGCTTCCCAGCGCTCCCTCACGGCCTCGCTTGGAGGCATTTCAGATCGCTCCAAGACGGGCCACGAGGCCCCGAAGAGGGCCCCAAGACGGCCCAGGAGGCTCCCCAGACAACCCAACTGAGCCCCAAGAGCGTGCCAAGAGAGGGCCCAGAAGGGGGACCGCCGACCGATATTTCGAGGTCTCTGGCCCTACAGGCCGCCTGTAGGCCCCCGGAGGCCACCAAGAGGCTCCCACGAAGCCCTGTGAGGCGCCCAAGAGGCCCCCAGGAAGCCCCAAGAGACCCCCAAGGGGCTCACAGGGAACGCCCAAGAGGCCCCCCAACACACCACAAGAAATCATGTCCCCAGAAAAAACCTTCCGGGGACATGGTTCATCATGGGCCCGAGAGTTCCTGGAGGCCCCCAATGGGCCCCCAGGGAATGCGCAAGAGACCCCCCAACACACCCCAACAAACCATGTCCCCAGAAAGCCTTCCGGGGACATGGTTCATCATGGGCCCGCGAGTCTCCGGAGGCTTCGAAGTACCATCATGCTACAGGAGAGTTGTCTGGGAAGTTGATTGGGAACATGGCTGATCGCCTTCTCGCGGCCCTCCGCAGATCGTTTCGCACCAAGTTGCCCCATGTGCCCTCTTGAACCGACGACGACGACGACGAAACGACGAAGACGACGAGAACGACGACGACGACGACGATGGCACGCCCCAACAGGCTCCCCAACACGCCCCCAAACCCATGCTCCCAGAAGGCCTTCTGGGAACCCGATTCACACGGCCTCCGTCCCCATACACAACCATTTTCTTCGAAGGACTTTCGGAATGCGATTGGCTTGCGTGTACTGTGGTCAACTACTTCAGTGGAGCAGTGAATTCGTCAAGGCCTGGGACCTGCTAGATCTGGAGCGCGCGCGAAGCGCGCGCGATGGTTCTAGTATATGTGTATAGGCATAAACACATACATACACATCCATACATACATACATGCATACACACATGCGTACACACCCGCGTACTTACATGCATGCAGGCAGGCATACATTCATACACACATATCTATATATAGGCGCATCCATGCATGCATGCCTACATGCATGATTTCCGTGCATGCATACACACATGCATGCATGGGTGCATGCCCGCATGCAGATTTACGTAGTTGCGTACTGACTTATTTACATACATGCATGGAATGTTACATGCGTGCGTACAGGGAACCACACACACATACATGTATGTATACACATTTACACATACATGCATACATGCATGCATACTCACATACGCACACACATGTACACATATGTGATTGCATACACACATGCATGTACACATACGCACATATGTCTTCATCTATACACATATGTGACTGCATACATACACCACGCATACATACATCATGCATACATACCTAGATACAGACAACATGCGTGCGCACATACACACATACAAACATACATACATAATTACATCTATACATACATACATACATATACACATACATACATACATACATACATACATACATGCATGCATACATACATAACTACATACATACACACATACCTACATACATACATACATACATACATACATACATATATACATACATACATAAGTACGGTCATACAGGAACACACATACATACATACACGCATACATACACACATGCATACACATGTACACAGACATATGATTAGACACACGTAGCGTCGCCCCCATCACCTCCCCCCACAACTACCAAGACAATAAAACCTTCGTTGATCGTTTGCTCGTCGTCGTCATCTTTCTCCTCCTCCGTCTTCTCCTCCCCGTTATTCCCTTCCTCCTCTACCGTTCCTCCTCCTTCTCCCCCTCCTCTCCCTCCTCCTTCCTCTCCTCCTCTTCTGCTTCCCCTTTCCTCGTTGTACCAACACGAAACCAATAATGGACAGCTTCTCACACCCTCGGTGCAAGAAACCGCTGTGTATGTTTGGTCCGGGTGTTTTGGTATGAAGCAACAATGCATTGCGCTGTGTGTTTGAAAGGCTTACAGGCCCCACTGAGTGCCGCGGCCTCCCTTCCAGCACTCCTCCCTGAGCCTGCAAAACCAACACACAAGGCTTCCTCGCTTCCCAGACAAAAAAAACAATCAACCACAAACCTACACAGCGTTTCCTTGCACAGGGGGCGCCAAACGATTTGTAGTGCTGGCGTTGTGTTGCTCCAAGAGGAGGAATCGGAAAGGCGAAGGAGGAGGAATAGGATAGGCGAGGGGGAGGAGGAGGACATGCAAGACCACGCTGTTTGTTTTGTGCTTTGAGGCATGAAAACCAAGGGACCACTGGGTATTTGGTTGTTTCTGCCCCAGTGCTCGCCGCGGCCTCCCTCCCAGCACTCCCGCCCCTGAGCCTACAAACCCAACAACACATATACACTGTTTCCTTGCTTTTCCAGACCAAGAACAACATTATCACAAACACAGTCCCCTGCACCGGAGGCGTTGCTTCCAAGAGGAGGAATCGGAAATGAACAGGAAGAAAATAATGGGCGAGGAGGAGCAGGAGGAATTGTGTTTCTAGAAGGAAGAGCGGGACCGGATATGCACGGACACCATCTGCTTGTATGTTTTTCCCGGAGAGGACATAAGCCCAGGGTTCTCTTCTAGTTTGTTTACCCCCGGTCTTGACTTGAGGTGGGCCGGCGAATTTCTTTTGCGATACATATCGAGGTCGAGGTGGGCCGGCGAATTGAAATTTGAGGATTTCCCTAGCGAAACGCTTGTTTTCCAGAATTGGTTGAGGAATTCTCGAGCGAAGCGCTTGTTTTGTGTTATATATTGTCCTCTCCTGGGACCTGAATTCAGAGGATCTCTCAAGTGAAATGCTTGTTTTTTTCACTTGCCCAGGTCTTGAGGATGTCTCGAGCGAGACGCTTAGTTTCACGCCTCCAGGTTGCCCAGACAGATGTCTAGCATGAGGATTTGTTGAGGATGTCTCGAACCAGAGGCTTGTTTTCACGTGTCCAGGTCGCCCAGGCGGATGTCTAGCATGAGGCGGTGTCGAGGAAGTCTCGATCGAGACGCTTGTTTGCACGTGTCCAAGTTGCCCAGGCGGATGTCTGGCATGAGGATGTGCTGAGAACGTCTTCAGCGAAACGCGTGTTTTCACGTGTCCAGGTCGCCCAGGCACAGCACAGCCCTCGGCACGGTACATCAAGATCGATACCCTTGCAGCCTGGCATTGCAGCCTGGCATGTTGCTTGGCACGTTCCGCGGAGCGTCCCGTGGCGAGTCCCCCCGGCACGTCGCGCGGTGCACGTCCATTGGCTCGTTCCGTAGCGCGTCCCCTTGGCACGTCCCGCGGTGCGTGCCCATGGCACGTCCCCATGGCTCGTCGCCTGGCGCGTCCCTTGAGACGTTCCGCGGCGCGTCCTCCTGACATGTCCCCCTGTCGATCAGTCTTGGGGCAGCTACCATCTGCTAAGGCAGTTCGAGTTTCAGATCAAGATCAGTTCGGTCAGGACTCGGATGCAAAGAGGACTCGATCCACAACGCTATAAAGAGCACAATCGCGGCATGGCACATCGCAGTTCAGCACGGCCCAGCACAGCACAGCAGTCGGCACGGTACATCAAGATCGATACATTCAACATTGTACTTTGGCACGTTCCTTGGCGCGTTCCGTGGCGAGTCCCCCTGGCACGTCGCGCGGCGCAGCCCTCGGCACGTCCCGCGGTGCACGTCCATTGGCTCGTTCCGTAGCGTGTCCCCTTGGCACGTCCCGCGGTGCGTTCCATGGCACGTCCCCATGGCACGTCGCCTGGCGCGTCCCTTGGGACGTTCCGTGGCGCGTCCTCCTGACATGTCCCCCTGTCGATCAGTCTTGGGGCAGCTACCATCTGCTAAGGCAGTTCGAGTTTCAGATCAAGATCAGTTCGGTCAGGACTCGGATGCAAAGAGGACTCGATCCACAACGCTGTAAAGAGCACAATCGCGGCATGGCACATCGCAGTTCGGCACGGCGTAGCACAGCACAACCCTCGGCACAGTACATCAAGATCGATACATTCAGCATTGCATTTGCCCGTCGCCCAATCAGGTGTCTTTGAAACATTGCCATGCCTTACATTTCTATATTCCTTTCCGGATTCGTGTGTCGGTCATGTTTTGTTGTGGTATGGGGCGCAAGGGTGCATTGCGAGTTTTTGTTGGTTTTGCAGGCCCCAGTGTTTGCCGCGGTTTTTTTCCCAGCACCCCTCCCTGAGCCTGCACCAAACAAATGTACACATTGCACCCTTGCTTCCAAGGCCAACAACAACACCAGCAACAACACGAACCAACACAACAACAACATCAACAACACCATCAACACCAACACCAGCACCAACACCAACACCACCAACACCAACAAGCATAACACACAACTGCAGCGTTTCCTTGCACCGAGGGCACCAAACGCTGGATATTATTGATTGTGTGTTGCTTCGAGGGGAGGGGGGAATCCGACAGGATAATGAGGAGAAGGGTGATGGGCGAGGAGGAGGAGGAGGCAGAGTTGTGCTTGGAGAAGGAAGAGAGAGGGTCTCCAGAGCGCTCGAGACCGCCGAAGAGGCCCCCAAGATCGTTCCAAGATTGCCCAATTGGCGCCCAAGGGGGCCCCAAGACGAGCCCAGGGCCCAGGAGTGGCCCAACACGGCCCCAAGACTCGCCGTTGCCATGTTGGTTCAAGATTGTTTGGCTCCAGCTGGGCCTTCGCAGTCTGAAGCACACCCGCACACTCGTCGTACATCCTACAACTTCTGGTCGGCTCACCCGTCTCGCAGATGGCCCGTCTCTTGTTGATTGCCAGTCTCGGGGCACGCGGCGCCGCCAGCCTGGGTGCGCCCCCCCCACCACCCCCCGATTCCAGCATGATGCAGTTTGGGGCAGCAGTGGACAAGACCAACGCCTCGCAGCAGGCAGGGACACCTCCAGTGTATACGTACGTGAAGAGTCCTGGATACTGCCTGGACCTATGCGGGACTGACCTCATGGACTGGTGGACGCTGAGCTCAGACACTCCTCGCACGTACGCAGCTTATGCGGCAGCGTGCGACGCTAATGATGATTGTATCGGGTTTGGGGACCACTACGACTTCGACCGATACTACCTCAAATCGCGGCTTGCAATGAACACGGCAGTGGCGAATTGCAATTTAGGAGTAGGCATTTCCACGGGGAACTACGCAATCATAAACAATTGTTACAAGAAGGTCGTGTCAGCGACGCCCAGTCCGACGGGCAGCCCGACCTTCAGCCCGACCTCGTTCCCGACGCCCAGTCCGACGGTCAGCCCGACGAGCAGCCCGACCTCCAGCCCGACGCAGGCAACGCCACCTTCAGCGGGTGGGGCAGGTGCTGGAGCTTCCGCCATTGGCGACCCCCATCTGCAAAACATCCATGGCCAGCGGTTCGACCTGATGAAGGCGGGCAAGCACGTTCTAATAAACATCCCCCGTGGAATGGCTGCTGACCAAGCCCTGCTTCGCGTGCAGGCCGAGGTGCGCCGAATGGGTGGACATTGCGCGGACATGTACTTCCAGGAGCTCAACGTGACGGGGTCTTGGGCAGAGGCAAAACAAGCTGGAGGGTATCATTACAGCGTATCGCAACGTTACGTGAAGACTCCGACATGGGTTGCCTTTGGCCGGGTCGAGCTCAAAGTCGTTCACGGACGTACGGCCAGTGGCCTCCTGTATTTGAATATCTACGTGAAGCATTTAGGGCGGGCGGGGTTTGCAGTCGGAGGTCTCCTGGGCGAAGACGACCACGGGGAGGAGAGCACCCCTCCGGATGCTTGCCACCAGCGCACGGCCCTCGTGGCGGGGAGCAATGGGGGCCCGCGCGTAGCTTCGGCTGCAGCAGCGAGTCTCCAGTGAGCAAGATCAGGTCCTCAGTCTGAACAGCTAGCCCCACATCGGCCGCTGGCGACCGGCGGCTCCGTCGGCTGGGCGTGCCACCATTGCGGGGCGCAGTCGGACCGAGGTATGAGATCGAGGTCGGTTCGGGGAGGGTGCGCTAATGTGCTTCGCGTTTGCTGGATATGTTTGTGCGTCCAGAGGGAGGGCACCCTCGAATGTCCTTGAGTTCGGGCCGGCGGAGGGTCTCATGTTCTACAAGGGTGTTCTCATGTCCTAGGTCCGACTGAAAGCGAGGCTAGCTCTCGCCGTTCATTTCTGCGTTGATCGTCCGTGGCTTCGGCTGCAGCAGCGAGACTCGATTGACTCACCTCGGGTCCGTCGACTGGCCTCCTCTGCTCGTATCGGTTCCCCCCCTCCCCATCGTCTTGCCCTCCCTTTGGGGCCACGAGCGGTGCTGCTCGTGCGTGTGAGCTGGCCAAGGCCGGCTCGAGCCCTCACTCGATTCTGTGTGCCTTGCTGTGTAAAAAACGGCGGCCCCAAGACGCTCCGAATATGGAGCGTCGGATCGCACGGGAAGGGTCATTAGCGAATGACGGGAAGCGCGCTTAGATTCGAAGAGTCGCGCGAAGAACGTATGTAGCCCAGAGGGATTGTCAATGGGGGGCGTGCAGAGGGGGAACGGTTCGGGATTGCTCGCTCGTCGGAGACCTGGCGGATGACGGGAAGCGCGCTTAGACTTCGACTCGAAGAGTTGCGCGATGAACGTATGTTTGCCCACAGGGACTGTCAAATGGGGGAGTGCAGAGGATAAATGGTTCGGGATTGCTCGCTTGTCGCGGACCTGAAGGATGACTGGAAGCGCACTTAGACTCGAAGAATCGCGCGATGGACGTATGTAGCCCCGAGAGATCTATGTGTCAATCGGGGGGGGTCCAGAGGCGGAATAGTTCGGGATCGCTCGCGGATCGGGAACCAGATGGATGACGGGAAGTGGGCTTAGACTCGAAGAGTCGCGCGATGGACGTATGTTTGCCCAGAGGGATTTATCAATTGGGGGAGTGCAGAGGGGGAGTGGGTCCTTATCGCCGAACAAGTCGGGGACCTTACGGATGACGGGAAGCGCGCTTAGACTCGAAGGGTCTCGGGATGGTCGCATGTTTGCTCTGAGAGATATATAGTTATCAATTGGGGGGATCCAGGGGGGGAGTAGTTCGGGATCGCTCGCGGATCGGGGGCCCGGCCGATGATTGGAAGCGCGCTGAGACTCGAGGAGTCGCGCGATGGACGTACCAGGGGGGAAAGTGTTCGGGATCGCTCGCGGGTCGGGGACACAGCGGATGACGGGAAGCGCGCTCAGACTTGAAGAGTCGCGCGATGGACGTGTGTTTGCCCAGAGGGATTGATCAATTGGGAGGTGGCAGAGGGGGAGTGGTTCAGGATTGCTCAGCCCCTCCTCCTCCTCCTCCTCCTCTTTTGCTTCTTCTTCTTCTGCCACATGCCCCTCCTCCTCCTCCTCCTCCTCCTCCTCTTCTTCCTCCTCCTCCTCCTCCTCCTCCTTCTGTGGCGCTGCTCGGCTTGGTGTGCGCCCTTCCACCCACCCGGATCGCCGATAGCCCCAACCTGCCCAGGGGGGGATGCATCGACCCCCCCTCGCCCCCTGATCGCCGACAGGGGCCCGATAGCCCCAGCCTGCCCAGGAAGGTGCAGATTCACGATCGCAGACCTATCGCCGGTCTCTCGGCAACGCATCGCCGATTCCAGGGCGATACATCCCCCCTGTGCCAGTCCCCCCAATCGTTCCCCCCCAAGCACCCTGCTTGCCTCCAGGATGCCCTGGGTTTCTCGGGTTTCGATGGTTCTGCCATGGGCAGCGCGGCGTTCCCACACAGAAGACAAATGGACGTCCTGGGGCCTCAGGCCTGGGTTCCTTGTGGAAGGTTTCTTGTGGACTGGCCTCCGCTGTAGCACGGCCGTGCGTAGCACGATGCCTGTTCTTCTGCCGACCGAGCGGCCGCGCGGGTCCGGGCGGACCTCTTCGGCAGCAGATCATGGGAGCCTCAAGCACCTTCGTAAATCCGATTCTAGACTGCGCCAGCGACGATAAGCGTTTGGTGATCGATAGGCTAGCGCCGACTTAGAGTCGAATGGCGTCGATTCGGGTCGAACTGTGCGGGGGAGACGCATGCGAACTATGCCACTGGGACTTCGGTGGGGCTCCCTATGGGGCTACGAAACGCTGTCCTGGGTGGTGGAGACGCATGCGGCCCCCCCCACTGGGGCCTTCGGTGGAGCTCCCGATGGGGCCACGAAACGCTGTCCTGGGCGTGGGGGACGCATGCGCCCCCCCCACTGGGGCCTTCGGTGGAGCCCCCTATGGGGCCACGAAACGCTGTCCTGGGCGTGGGGGGCGCACGTGGCACCCTCCTCTGGAGCCTTCGGTGAAGCTCCCTATGGGGCCACGAAACGCTGTCCTGGGCGTCGGGGAAGCATGTGGCCCCCCCCCACCGGGGCCTTCGGTGGAGCTCCTTGTGGGGCCACGAAACGCTGTCCTGGGCGTGGGGGGCGCATGTGGCCCCCCCCCCACTGGGACCTTCTGTGGAGCCCCCTATGGGGCCACGAAACGCTGTCCTGGGCGTGGGGACGCATGTGGCCCCCCCCACTGGGGCCTTCAGTGGAGCTCCCCATGGGGCCACGAAACGCTGTCCTGGGCGTGGGGGACGCATGTGGCCCCCTCCCCACCGGGGCCTTCGGTGGAGCTCCCTGTGCGGCCACGAAGCGCTGTCCTGGGCGTGGGGGACGCTTGTGCCCCACCCCCACTGGGGCCTTCGGTGGAGATCCCTATGGGGCCACGAAGCGCTGTCCTGGGCGTGGGGGGAGCCGTCGGAAGCCAAGATGGCCTCCAAGACGGCCCCCAGAGCCGTCTTGGAGGCCATCTTGGGCGTCTTAAAAGCCTCCTGGGCCGTCCTGGGGGCCGTCTTGGGGCCGTCTTGGGGGCCTCTTGGGCCGTTTTGGGGCCATCTTGGAGGCCTCTTGGGCGATCCTTGGGCGATTGTTGGGGGCTCTTGGGCCGTATCGGGCCGACGGAAGGCCGAAACGAAGCAAATGTCAAGGAACATCCGTGTTTTGGGCCTTTGCTGGCCTTCCTGGAGGCCCTCTTGGAATGGGGATCCCATGGGCCCCCTTGCTGGCAGACTCGGCGAGCAGCTCCTGCCGTTTCGGACGAAAGGGGGGGGGGCACAGCAAAAGGAGGGGTTAGCGACTCAGCTCACGTGGCTGGCTTTCCCGGCGCCTCCCGGCGCCTCCTGCCGCCCACGCGCCGAGGAAAGCGCCCCTGCCCGCGGCGAGGCCGAAACCAGCTGCTTCGTCTTCAGAGTGCCCCAGGCGCCCCCGCGGAGCCCCGAGACAGCCCAAGAGAGACCCAAGAGGGCCCAAGACGGCCCAAAAAGATCGTCCGTGGGGCCCACGGAACCCCACAAGACGGCCCAAGAGGCCCCGAAGGCGGCCCAGGAGGCCCCCAAGACGGCCTCCAGGGAGGCCCAAGAGGGCCTCGTTCGAAATCATGTTCCCGGAAGTTTCTCCGGGAATATGATTTCCGGGTTCCCAGGATGCCCAAGAGGCCCACAAGACAGCTTTTGCAAGGCCCGAGAGGGCCTGAAGATGGCCGAAGAGGGCCCCAAGAGGGCCTTCGAGAGGAGAAAATCAGCCCGTTCCCGTAGTAAAACGTGCATTTTCAGCATATTCCCTTGCTTCGTCTTCACAGTGCCCCAGACGCCCCCCCGGAGCCCCAAGACAGCCCAAGAGAGACCCAAGAGGGCCCAAGACGGCCCGAAAGAGTCGTCCTGTGGGGCTCACGGAACCTCCCGAGACGGCCCAAGAGGCTCCAAAGCCGGCCCAGGAGGGCCCCCAAGACGGCCTCCAGGAGGCCCAAGAGGGCCTTGTTCGAAGTCATGTTCCCGGAAGCCTCTCCTGGAACATGATTTCCGGGTTCCCAGGACGCCCAAAGACAGCCTCCAGAGGCCCCGGACACGCCGAAGATGCCCTCAGAACGGCCGACGACGCCGCCAAAACGCCCCAAGAGCGCCTCCAGAGGCGCCTCCAAAGGGCCCCAGAAGCTGAAAAGTATACATTTTCCAATGGTTTTTGAAGCGTTCTTGCGCTCTCCCATGTTGCGCCTCCCCACGGTCCCGGACCGCGTCAGAGGCTCTTCAGATCGCTCCAAGACGGCCGAAGAGGCTCCCAAGAAAGCCCAGAGACAGCCCAGGAGGCTCCCCAGATAAGTCAAGAGGGCCTCGAGAGCACCCCAAGAGAGCCCCAAGAGCGACCCAAAGGGCCCGAGGAGCGCGACATTTCAAGGTCGCCTGAGAGGCTCCTAGGACGCCTCCGGAGGCCATCAAGAGGCTCCCAAGAAGCCCCGTGAGGCTCCCAAGAGGCCCCCCGGAAGCCCCAATAGGCCCCCAAGGGGCCCCCAGGGAAGCCCCCTGCGGGCCCCCGAGACACTTCGGTAAATCTTATTTCCCAGATAGCTTTCCGGGAACATGATTCCTTGGGCTTCCGCCCACCGCCCCAACCATGTTTCCAATAGGCTTGCCGGCAAGGCCAAAAGGCGCCCCTCGGTAAGCCCCCAGAGGCCCCCCTCTTAGAGAGCCGAACAAATCATGCTCCCAGAAGCTTCCCGGGAGCATGATTCTCTATCTCGGAGTAGGCCCGGGGGGGGGAGGGGGCGGGTCGCTGCCTGTTCCCCCCATCGGTGCCCACCGGGGGTTGCGGGGGGGGTCCAGAGCTCCCGAGGCTGCCCGAGCCCGCCCCGAAGCAGGCCACGACAGGCTAAGGAGGTCCCGAGAGGGCCCAAGACGGTCCCACGAGGCCCCGAAGACGTCCAAGATGCCCTCAAGACAGCCGACGAGGACTCCAACACGCTCCAGGAAGGACTCAAGAGGCTCCCCAAGAGGGCCCTGGAAGGCAACATTCACTCGTTTTCCGAGCGTTTTGGATTTAGGCGTTCTCGCATTCCCCCCCTTCCACCGCTCCCTTCACGGCCTCGGAGGCCCGTCAGATCGCTCCAAGAAGGCCCCGAAGGCCCCGACGAGGGTCCCAAGACGGTCCAGGATGCTCCCCAGACAACCCAAGTGTGCCCCAAGAGCGTGCCAAGAGAAGGCCCAGAGGTGTCCCGAGGCGGCCCAGGCCTGCCCCGAAGCAGGCCACGCCAGGCTAATGGAGGCCTCGAGAGGGCCCTAGACGGTCCCGAGAGGCTCCGAAGACGCCCAAGCTGCCCTCAAGACGGCCGACGAGGACTCCAACACGCTCCAGGAAGAACTCAAGAGGCTCCCCAACAGGGCCCTTGGAGGCAAGATTCACTAATTTTCCGACGGTTTTCGAAGGATTTATGCGTTCTCGCTTTCCCCGCTTCCCAGCGCTCCCTCACGGCCTCGCTTGGAGGCCCTTCAGATCGCTCCAAGACGGGCCACGAGGCCCCGAAGATGGCCCAAAGACGGCCCAGGAGGCTCCCCAGACAACCCAACTGTGCCCCACGAGCGTGCCAAGAGAGGGCCCAGAAGGGGGACCGCCGACCGATATTTCGAGGTCTCTGGCCCTACAGGT